CATAATAGGTAAATTAAAAAAATTGAAGTTCTTAGACCACATTCTTTCTGTGTCAGAAACCTATGCTGTGTCAAATATTTAATCACAATCCAAATTCAGAGCTGTATCAAGCTTGAATGTTGTGTCCATACTTGCCCCAACTGTTCAGGGTTCGACCTCTGCGGTCGTATCAAGCTGCGCCCAGCGAAGCATTTTATTAGATATTACTGTTAAATGATGCTATGTTTAGCCATGACTATGATGTCATTTTCTATTTTAATATCTGTTATGATGTATTTAAATGGGCTTTTATGGTTACAAAGGAATTTTATTTTTAGATATTACTATAAAATGTTGCTGATGCTGATTAAGGATTTTGTTTATTTTTAGCCATGACTATGATGTCATTTTCTATTTTAATACCTTTATGATGTAATTTCCATTTTTATAAGACCGCAAAAATTGAAAATTTTTTGGTCGTATATTGGTATGACGTTGGCGTCGTCGTCGTCGTCCGGCGTCGTCTGGCGTCGTCCGAAGACACATTGGTTTTCGCACTCTAACTTTAGTTTAAGTTAATGGATCTCCATGAAATTTTACCATAAGGTTCAATACCACGAAAGGAAGGTTGGGATTGATTTTGGGGGTTATGGTACCAACAGTTAAGGAATTAGGGGCCAAAAAGGGGCCAAAAATAAGCATTTTTGTAACTTCCAGACAATAACTTGTGTGTAAGTGTATGGATCTCTCTGACATTGTACCACAAGGTTCCATATCACAAAGGGAAGGCTGTAATTGATTTTGAGGGTAATTGCCTCAAAATTTTAAGATAAGGGGCCAAAAAAGGGGCAAAAAACAAGCATTTTTCTAGTTTCATGACAATAACTTGTGTGTAAGTGTTTGGATATTTCTTAAATTGTACTACAAGGTTCCATATCACAAAGGGAAAGCTGGAATTGAGTTTGGGGGTAATTGCCCGAAACATTTAGGAATTGGGGGCCAAAAAGGGGCCAAAAATAAGCATTTTTCTAGTTTCCAGACAATAACTTGTGTTCAATTGTATGGATCTCTCTGAAATTGTACTGCAAGATACCATACCACAAAGGGAAGGCTGGGATTGAGTTTGGGGGTGATGAATCATAAGGGGGTTCAAAAAATTTTGGGGGGGGGGGTTCTTTTTTTTTCTTTTTTTCCTTTTTTTTTTCTTTTGAAATTTTCCATTTTAAGTTGGTTATTTCTGATTTATATTTAAAAGCAAATAATAATGATATGATAGGAAATACACACCAAACAGGATGTGTAAATTATTATATAATAAGTATTGTGCAATAGCAAGAAATCTTCAATTGCACAGTATTGCGCAATAGCAAGAAATCTTCAATTGCACAGTATAGCGCAATAGCAAGAAATATCCAATAGCACAATATTGTGCAATAGCAAGAAATTGTCAATTGTACAGTATTGCGCAATAGCAAGAAATATTCAATTGCACAGTATTGTGCAAAAGAATATACTTTGTATAAATTGCTTATTTCTTGATCAATTTCAATGGGGTTTTATTCTTGAATTCTTGGGGTTCTTTAATATGCTGAATCTAACCATGTATTAAGTTTTTGGATTTTGGGCCCTGTTTTTAAATTGGTCCACATTGAGGTCCAAAGGGTCCAAAATTTAACTTTGTTTGATTTCATCAAAAATTGAATTATTGGGGTTCTGTGATATGCCGAATCTAACCGTGTATTTAGATTCTTAATTTTTGGTTCCGTTTTCAAATTGGTCTACATAAAGGTCCAAAGGGTCCAAAATTAAACTTAGTTTGATTTCAACAAAAATTGAATATATGGGGTTCTTTGATATGCTGAATCTAACCATGTATTTAGATTTTTGATTATGGGCCCAGTTTTCAAGTTGGTCCAAATCAGGGTCCAAAATTAAACTTTATTTGATTTCAACAAAAATTGAATATATGGGGTTCTTTGATATGCTGAATCTAACCATGTATTTAGATTTTTGATTATGGGCCCAGTTTTCAAGTTGGTCCAAATCGGGGTCCAAAATTTAACTTTGTTTGATTTCAACAAAAATTGAATATATGGGGTTCTTTCATATGCTGAATATAACCGTGTATTAAGTTTTTGGATTTTGGGCCCTGTTTTTAAATTGGTCCACATTGAGGTCCAAAGGGTCCAAAATTTAACTTTGTTTGATTTCATCAAAAATTGAATTATTGGGGTTCTTTGATATGCCAAATCTAACCGTGTATTTAGATTCTTAATTTTTGGTTCCGTTTTCAAATTGGTCTACATAAAGGTCCAAAGGGTCCAAAATTAAACTTAGTTTGATTTTAACAAAAATTGAATTTTTAGGGTTCTTTGATATGCTGAATCTAAACATGTGTTTAGATTTTTGATTATGGGCCCAGTTTTCAAGTTGGTCCAAATCGGGGTCCAAAATTAAACTTTATTTGATTTCAACAAAAATTGAATATATGGGGTTCTTTGATATGCTGAATCTAACCATGTATTTAGATTTTTGATTTTTGGGCCCCGTTATCAACTTTGTCCACATTGAGATCAAAAGGGTCCAAAATTAAACTTTGTTTGATTTCATCAAAAATTGAATTCTTGGGGTTCTTCGATATGCTGAATCTAACCATGTATTTAGATTTTGGATATTGGACCATAATAGGTGAATGTCCAGTTTAAAATTTTTAAGTTCTTAGACCACATTCATTCTGTGTCAGAAACCTATGCTGTGTCAAATATTTAATCACAATCCAAATTCAGAGCTGTATCAAGCTTGAATGTTGTGTCCATACTTGCCCCAACTGTTCAGGGTTCGACCTCTGCGGTCGTATCAAGCTGCGCCTTGCGGAGCATTTTATTAGATATTACTGTTAAATGATGCTGATTAAGGGTTTTTTGCTATGTTTAGCCATGACTATGATGTCATTTTCTATTTTAATATCTTTATGATGTATTTAAATGGGCTTTTATGGTTACAAAGGAATTTTATTTTTAGATATTACTTTAAATGTTGCTGATTAAGGATTTTTGTTTATTTTTAGCCATGACTATGATGTCACTTTCTATTTTAATACCTTTATGATGTATTTAAATGGGCTCCCATGTATTTAGATTTTTGATTATTTATACATGTTACCAAATTGGTCCACATTGAACAAAAACGGTCCAAATTTCAACTTTATTACATTACATCAAACATTGAATTCTACATATTCTTTGATATATTGAAATTAACAAACAATTTAGTTTATGGATATTCCACCATAATAGGTAAATTAAATTTTTTCCAGTTCTTACACCACATTCATCCTGTGTCAGAAACCTATGCTGTGTCAAATATTTAATGACAATCCAAAGTCATAGCTGTATCAAGCTTGAATTTTGTGTCCATACTTGCCCCAACTGTTCAGGGTTCGACCTCTGCGGTCGTATCAAGCTGCGCCCCAGCGAAGCATTTTATTGGATCTGAATTAGTTGCAAATAATTATACTATCAGTGTTATTGTTTCTTTAAATATCGTCAATATTTTTGGGGAAAACCCTTGTGTGACCATCTGTCCATGAGTATCCGCAGCCAAAATGGAATTAGTAGCCTCCACACTATATTATCGGAGATTAACTTTTCTACTGTTCTTGTTGGTGGTCCATTATTTATTTAAAAATGAGAAGATATATTCAGAAGGGATGTTAATTTGATGAATAATTACCAAGCACTACACAATTGCTCTCTTGAAAATAAATAGGAATAAAATTTTACACACTTTAATATGCTTTGTTGGTTGTTGTCTAATCATTATATACCATAGTTTATAGCTCATTGACTACATGTACTAATTACAATTAAGTAAACACTAATCTCATCAATAGTTTAAATGATTACAAAGTCAAACCAGATCAAACAACAGTAACATATTGAAGAAAACACATTAACAAAGGTGAGATGGTTAGAAATATATGATCCTTTCTAAAGAACATGAATTATATGAAAAGTAGGAGACAATGTACTAGTCCGAAACGGATTATTCAAGTATCATTTTGTATTCGATATTTAATACTACCGAGCGATTCTCGAGCACTGGTTGACATACTGAATTCAGATATTACAGCAAAAGAGGCATTGCAGTATGTCTACACTTGTTACCCCATTATATCAATTGCTAGTTCTATCATTCTCACATTGTTTTAAAACAAACAGAGACAAACTGAAGACTATTTATTTTAAATTGATGTGTGTTACTTCTTGCCAAAACAGTCACAGCATTAAAGAAAAAGAGCAAAAACAGGTCAGCTCAAAGTGAGTTTTGTGTCATAGATAATGTGATATGTCTTCCTGTAGACTGTTGTTGTGTGAGATAGTACATTAAAAATCTGACTCAGTATGTCATTCAATAACAAATATAAAAATAAGAAGATGTGGTATGATTGCCAATGACACAACTCTCCACAAGAGACCAAATGACACAGAATTTAACAACTATTGGTCACTGTATGGCCTTCAACAATGAGTAAAACCCATACTGCATAGTCAGCTATAAAAGGCCCCAAAATGACAAATGGTAAACAATTCAAACAAGAAAACTAATGGCCTGATTTATGTACAAAATAATAAACGAAAAACAAATATGATATACAGCAACAAACAACAACCACTGAATTACAGGCTCCTTTATTACTTCCCATATATGAATGATAATGAGATGATTTTCATAGAGCACCCATTCATCCACTTCTGCAAAACAGCTATCAGCAATCAACAATGGTCTGAGTCGGGACCGTCTGACATGTAGAGTTCATTAATTAAAGAAGCCTAATATTATTTTGGTATTGTGCGGTATAATTTTCCTTTATAAACATTTTGAAGACGTTGGATTTTAATTTTTAGATTAAAACAAAAATGAAATTCATATTTTATAAACTTTAAAGTGAATGGCAGTACCTTTACAATTTAGATGAAATTTCTTTTTAACATAAATATTTATTATTTCATAATATTCAGATAAAAGAGAAGAATCAGTGCATGTTGAAGAAAAGACAACAGATAGTGAAAACGAAGATGGAAAATGTAACATCTCAAAAGATGAAGAAGACCTTGAAGAACAGGACAAAGAAAGTTGGGATTGGAAAAGGGGAAGAAAGAGAGCTCCTCAAAGAAGAAGATCAGAAAAAGCTAATAAATTTGGATCAGATGTGAGGCCATCATTTAAAAGTACACCGTCATTGTTGGAAAAGGTAAATGTGCTTATACAATAAAAAACATATATACCTACATGGAGTTATTTTCTTTCAGAACGATAGGTCATTCTCTTGAAGAATCAACCGGGACGATACCATGTTTCAATGAAATGTGCTTCAATGCATAAATGGCACAGTTATTTATCCCAATTATAATGCAAACTAGTTTGTTAAAAAATCATTTGATAGTAATCATGTTATTTCCAATTGGGGTTTTTCTATACAGTTTTCCATCTTAGATATTCCTTGAAGGTTTTAGGCATAAACAATCTTTTACTCCATTTATTAGATTGAAATACTAGTATCAGCTCATGTCTTTAACACACATTTATGTGAGATAAAACTATATAATATCCTATCTTGATTCTAGTTATTTTAAGAAAAATTTTATTGCCAGGCAAAAATGAGAAAACAATTATTCTGAATAAGTTCCTTTAAAATTGTTGCAAAGTAATTTGCTTTTTCAAGGTGAAAATATTATAAAAAAGAGGGGAAAAAAAACATTACAACCCCCTTTTATAAAGTTAATATAATAAATTAAATACCAAGTTACTTGTTTTTTTTTATACATCGTAACCGTTCATTTTTATTGAGTATGGGAAACTTGTTCAACATGTGATTTTGAATTTCATGTTTGTATAATTTCAAGAATTTGGGCATAAATTTGGCCAAACATAACAAACAAAATACATAAACTATATAATTATAATCAAAGATTGTTTATCTTTTTCTTTATTTGCAAATACAATGCAACATGAAAATACTGTGGTCTTTTTTATGTTTCATGTTTTAGAACATATTTTGCTCACATGGCCCAAAGTGCCAATGCGAGCTACTTCTATCACTTGGCATTGTCTGTTAACTTTACAAATACTCCGATGCAACTAATTAAGATGTCAAAATATATGAGATTGAGTTTTAGTATGCTGGAGTAAATATGTTTTTTTAACATTTACAAAGGAGGAATTTTCATAAGATGTTGATTGGTAGTTATTGTGAACATAGTTCTAGAGAAAGAAAACTATGATAGTAACATGAGTAATAATATCAGCTTTAAAAGACTTACGGAACTATTTAATAAGTATATTCATTTTAGAAATTTACTTTACTGTAGACTTTCTCTTACAGCTCCTTGCCAATGATATCCGACATGAAAGAAATGTCATATTACAGTGTGTTCATCATGTTGTTAAGAATAATTTCTTCGGTATCGGAGACTCATCATCAACCAACGAGATAAATAAAAGGTCATCATGTGACATGTCAGTTACCAATAAAATTAACAGTCAGTCAGAGTGTGAGACAGGACCATCTGAAAATAAAGTTAAAAGGATAGATGATAATTGTGTATCTACTAGTGTAAATCCTTTAATGCAGTCCAGCAATGACAATATAGCATCCAATGAAAAAGCAGAACAGCCAAGTGATGACAAAACAATATCCAATGGAAATAAGGATAACCCCAGTAATAATACAGTAACCAATGAAAATATAGAACAATCTAGTGACAACAATACATCATCCAATGAAATAGCAGAACAGCTAAGTGATGACAAAACAATATCCAATGGAAATAAGGATGAGACCAGTTTTAATACAGTAACCAATGAAAATATAGAACAATCTAGTGACAACAATACAATAACAAATAAAAATATAGAACAGTCTAGAGAAGACAAAACAGTATCCAATGAAAATGTAGATCATGTTTGTGGAAAAAGTGTATCCAACCGACAAAATTTTCCAGGAAATCAAGGAACAGAAAAGTTATTACAAAATGTACATACATTTCTCAAACAAAATAAATAAGATTTATGTTAGTTAGATTAACAAAAGAACAACTACAGTTGTACATGATGTTAAAGATATTTCATTTAAGACAATACAGAGAATGAAATTGTCATACCAACATTGAAGCAGCTTTTGTCATTTTGCAGATGTTTTATTTTATTTTGTGAAATATAGTTCTTTGATTAACATTTGTTGGATAAAATCTGGTCACTGTTATGAAACCGTATGTATTAATTAAATCGTTTTGATGTGTCATTGAGGTTTAAAGTCTTTCCTTCACACTATATATGTGAGTTTGATATGTGCTTTTTCAACCATGTAAAATAAAAATATGAGGGTGCATATTCATTACTTTATGTATGTTTCATAAGAATTCATACTTTGATTGGCAGACAACATTCGGTCAGCATTCTAAAATTATATTCTACAACATGTATATCCTAATAAAATGCAACATTCATGACTGCATGTGCTTCCCATGACAAAGTCACAGCAATGCATAGGAAAACCAACAAAAAGCTTGATATAACTTGTAAGTTCATGGTTGTAGCATAAAAATGTTATTATTTAGAATTGAATGCTTCTTTTGCATTTTATAAGGTTGTAAAAGCCTTGACCATAAGCATATTTTTAGTATTAAGCGCATCCGCACTTCATACAAAATATACTTAGGTCAACACTTTTACATCCAATTAGAATAACAAGAAGAAGCATTAAACATTACATTCTCTTTAAAATAATTACCAATAAATTGTCATTAACCAGTTTTAAATTCCCCTGTCACTAACCATTTTGTGTGGGATCTCCACCCTTCCCTTCTTGAACATATAGCAAGCAAGTACACACATTTTATAGCAGGTAATGATGCAGCATATATTCTCAGTGCACACAGTTCCCAATTCAACTAAATCCTCTAACAGACTTCAATCTAAATTTCTGACAAGTATAAAAATAATGAGATTTTGCAAGATTAGCAATGAGACAGCTTTCCATAAAAGGCCAATTAGGATTAGGATAATAATAACTACCGATACATATGATGTAGTATTGATATTTTGTAAACAATTGTTTAACAAAAATGTATAAATAAATGCGTAAAAGTTTCATTCTTCAAAATTTATACAAATGTATATTGCATCTATTGATTTCATTGCTTACAGTAGGACTCTCTGTCACTCTAAGTCATACATGATTTCAAAATTTAAATGTTAAGGTAACTTATTAAGCACATTTATCAAGAAGTATTTGTGAAAAACCATTGATATAAAGAATGGTATTACAACTGCATCCCTCAATTTCAGCTTTGTGCATATATGTCAGAGGATCCAGCTGCATATCATACTTAAAATACTTCAGACTTTGTTCAAATGTAAAGTTTTTTTGCCCCTGCCGTAGCGGATAGGGCATCAAGTTTTACCCTTGTCTGTCCGTAAGAACGTAGGTACGAACGTACGTACGTAAGTCCCAAAGTTGTTTTCCATTCTCTAACTTTAGTTTGTCTTAACCAAATGTTATGAAACTTATACAAAATGCTTATTACCACAAAACACAGATCAAGTTTGAATTTTGGTGGCGTCACAATAACCGTTCTAGTTTTATGCCCCTTTACAAATGGAATAAAATGCTCCGCTGGACGCAGCTTGATACGACCGCAGAGGTCGAACCCTGAACAGTTGGAGCAAGTATGGACACAACATTCAAGCTTGATACAGCACTGAATTTGGATTGTGATTAAATATTTGACACAGCATAGGTTTCTGACACAGAATGAATGTGGTCTAAGAACTTAAATTTTTTTAATTTACCTATTCAAACCATATCATTATTATATGCTTTTATATATAAATCAGAAATAACCAATTTAAAATTTAAAATCCCCCCCCCCCCCCCAAATTTTTTAAACCCCCTTTTGATTCATCACCACCAAACTCAATCCCAGCCTTCCCTTTGTGGTATGGTACCTTGCAGTACAATTTCAGAGAGATCCATACACTTGAACACAAGTTATTGTCTGGAAACTAGAAAAAATGCTTGTTTTTTTGCCCCTTTTTGGCCCCAATTTCAAAACGTTTAGGACAATTACCCCAAACTCAAACCCAGCTTTCCCTTTGTGATATGGAACCTTGTAGTACAATTTCATATAGATCCATACACTTACACACAAGTTATTGTCCTGAAACTAGAAAAATGCTTGTTTTTTGCCCCTTTTTGGCCATTAATTCCTAAAATTTTGAGGCAATTACCCCCAAAATCAATCCCAGCCTTCCCTTTGTGGTATGGTACTTTGCAGTACAATTTCAGAGAGATCCATACACTTGAACACAAGTTATTGTCTGGAAACTAGAAAAATGCTTATTGTTGGCCCCTTATTCCTAAACGTTTTGGGCAATTACCCCCAAACTCAATTCCAGCTTTCCCTTTGTGATATGGAACCTTGTAGTACAATTTCAGAAAGATCCATACACTTACACACAAGTTATTGTCATGAAACTAGAAAAATGCTTGTTTTTTGCCCCTTTTTTGCCCCTAATTCCTAAAATTTTGAGGCAATTACCCCCAAAATCAATCCTAGCATTCCCTTTGTGATATGGAACCTTGTGGTACAATGTCAGAGAGATCCATACACTAACACACAAGTTATGTCTGGAAGTTACAAAAATGCTGATTTTTGGCCCCTTTTTGGCCCCTAATTCCTTAACTGTTGGTACCATAACCCCCAAAATCAATCCCAACCTTCCTTTTGTGGTATTGAACCTTATTGTAAAAGTTCATAGAGATCCATTCACTTAAACTAAAGTAAGAGTGCGAAAACCAATGTATCTTCGGACGACGACAACACAGGACGACGCCAACGTCATACCAATATACGACCGCAAAATTTTTTTGCGGTCGTATAAAAACTGCTGAATGTTTCGTTTCCGTTCTCTAACTTCAGTTTGGTTCAACCAAATGTTATGAAACTTATACAAAATGCTTATTACCACAAAATACAGATCAAGTTTGAATTTTGGTGGCGTCACTTTAACCGTTCTAGAGTTATGCCCCTTTATAAATGGAAAAATTGCAAAATTTTTAGTTTCTGTTCTCTAACTTAAGTTTGCCTCAACCAAATGTTATGAAAGTTATGCATAATAATTATTACCACAAAACTCAGATCAAGTACAAGTTCTTCAGTTATGTCCCTTTATAAATTTATATGATATGCAAGGGGGGCATCATCTGTGTCCCATGGACACATTCCCCATTTATTTTATTCGTTGTCTTTAAAGGGATAAGCTTCTTGACCATAAATCATATGGTATTCAGGGTATTTATTCCATTAGAGTCCATGTGGTCCAGAAAACTGTTCAACATTTATCTGGACAATCACTCAAGCCAATTATCATGACAGCATTGGTTTCTTGCTAACCAAGATTCTCCATAGTGATGCAATTATTAATGACCCTATGATAATGGTTACCTTACGCAACATTAAAGATGGCAACAAAACAGATCATAACTTTACAAAAACTATAATAATAGATTATATAAAATGCTCTGCTGGGCGCAGCTTGATACAACCGCAGAGGTCGAACCCTGAACAGTTGGGGCAAGTATGGACACAACATTCAAGCTTGATACAGCACTGAATTTGGATTGTGATTAAATATTTGACACAGCATAGGTTTCTGACACAGAATGAATGTGGTCTAAGAACTTAAAAAAATTATTAATTTACCTATTCAAACCATATCATTATTTGCTTTTATATATAAATCAGAAATAACCAATTTAAAATGGAAAATTTAAAAAGAAAAGAAAAGGAAAAAAAATCCCCCCCCCCCAATTTTTTTAACCCCCTTATGATTCATCACCCCAAAACTCAATCCCATACCTTCCCTTTGTGGTATGGTACCTTGCAGTACAATTTCAGAGAGATCCATACACTTGAACACATGTTATTGTCTGGAAACTAGAAAAATGCTTGTTTTTTGGCCCCTTTTTGGCCCCAAATTCCTAAACGTTTAGGGAAATTACCCCCAAACTCACACCCAGCTTTCCCTTTGTGATATGGAACCTTGTAGTACAATTTCAGAAAGATCCATACACTTACACACAAGTTATTGTCATGAAACTAGAAAAATGCTTGTTTTTTGGCCCCTAATTCCTAAAATTTTGAGGCAATTACCCCAAAAATCAATCCCAGCATTCCCGTTGTGATATGGAACCTTGTGGTACAATGTCAGAGAGATCCATACACTAACACACAAGTTATGTCTGGAAGTTACAAAAATGCTGATTTTTGGCCCCTTTTTTGGCCCCTAATTCCCTAACTGTTGGTACCATAACCCCCAAAATCAATCCCAACCTTCCTTTTGTGGTATTGAACCTTATGGTAAAATGTCATAGAGATCCATTCACTTAAACTAAAGTTAGAGAGCGAAAACCAATGTGTCTTCGGACGACGACGACGACGCCAACGTCATACCAATATACGGCGCAAAAATTTTTTGCGGTCGTATAAAAAATGAGAATGGAAATGGGGAATGTGTCAAAGAGACAACAACCCGACCAAAGAGCAGAAAACAACTGAAGGACACCAATGGGTCTTCAACACAGCGAGAAAATCCTGCACCCGGAGGCGGGCTTCAGCTGGCCCCCTTAACAAAAATGTTAACTAGTTCAATGAAAATGGACGTCACACTAAACTCTAAAACATATAAATGAACTAAAATTAAACTAGATATGGACAATCCCCCCCCCCTTTCTGCTCTGCCATATGCATGAGTATAGTTCCACATATTTTAGATATGACAAACAGTGATGTTGACATACAACTTGAAGTTGTTACGCTGTCTGTAAGACACAAATGAAACCCCCGCCTGACTATAGGAAATTTTGAATTTAACACTATGTATGATGATCTTTGTTTTATTCTTATGCTCTAAGTTCAACTACCTGACGGACGGATGGACAGGGGTAAATTAATATGCCCCTCGACAGGCGCAAAAATGAGGCGGGTTAAACATGTTTTGTGAGATCTCAACCCTCCCCCTATACCTCTAGCCAATGTAGAATAAACAAACACACAGCAATACGCACAGTAAAACTCAGTTTAAAAGAAGTCAGAGTCTGATGTCAGAATAGGTAACAAAAGAAACTATAAGCAAAATGACAATGATACATAAATTAACAAAGGACTACTAGCAGTTACTGACATGCCAGCTCCAGACCTCAATTAAACTGATTGAAAGATTATGTCTTCATCATATGAA